AAAAACATTGCTTTATTAACCTAAAGACTTAATATAAAATTGGATATTTTGCCTGTGATAGCATTGTAATGTTTACTGATAATCTGCCAAATTTCATTAACATTCGTTTACTAATTTCAAAGTTATAGCATGAAAACTATAACAAGCACAAAGTGGTTACAAGGTCAATCCCAGGGACCGAGCCCGTGCTGAAAGAGAGTTAAAAAGACAAATATTTAAAATTTTGTAGTTATATTTAGAAAAAAATGTATATAGCCTACACCTAAATTCATATTTAAGCAGGATGCCAATTTTATACTTTTTTTACATCATTTCCTATCCAGTTACTTTCATTTTCACTTATTTCTGTAACCAAGAATAAAAAATATATTTCTTATATGTAATCTAACTTCCAAACAATTAAAAATTGATTCTGGAGCAAATATATGTAACTTTGATGACAACAAATCTCTATAAAGTAGTGTCTGGAAAAGGCCAAAGCATGAAAATTTACCATATCAGCATTTAATTGAAATTCATACTGTTGTATTTGTCTACAAATAATCAGTTACTGGATAAAGCTGTAACTGGATTGTTGTAGACTACAGTTGTATTGGCTTTAAAAATGTTGAAAAAAAAGCTTTTATGGTAATTGATAGACCAATAAATAAAAACACTGACCTATAATATATTTTTATTACTGTATGTCTGTTCTTTTTAACTGAGGAGGATATGCAGAACTTACTCTACCTGGAAATTATTATGATTTGTAACACACTAACAGACCCTAACTTAGTCTTTGTACTACTACTAGGGTTAATGTAAAATATTCGTTTGAAATATCACAAATTTCATGCTTTGACTCTCACATTCAATGAGGGTAGGCCTGTTGGGTTGACTCAAGCTTCAACAGTAAATGTAATCCAAGTCATGTAAATTAAGACACAATGGGAAGGTTTTTATTTTAAATCTTACTTAATATTTCCTAGCGTAAACACTCATCCTAGCCATTCACCTAAGAATAACGAGTTAAAAGTAAAAACCAAATTATTTTTTGAAACTTGTTTAATTATCGTTGCAACAAGTCAGTGCTATGGATAATCAACTAGAAAAAAAAACAAAAAAAACTGAAGACCCAAAGTCTCCACACTTGTAGCAAAGGAGTATGGTAGTAGGTTGAACCATACTTCAAAAACAAAGCTGATGATTAAATCAAATCATGTTAATCACAAGTATCGAGTTTAATTTTTTATTTCAGAATGCTAGGCATTTTTTATATTTTGATTATGTTAGATTTACTACGTTGCAATTTTAGGTAATTTTTTTACTTAGTTAATGCTATACTTTGTGTTCAATATTTTCATAATCCATACGAAAATCATTACCTGACTAAAATCGTGTTCTAAATCCTCTGCATACAAATCTATATCCACTCCGTCCGCCATTATGAAATCTTTCTATCGGTCAGCGCCGATACCAAGCAGTAGTGATAATAGGCCTAATCTTGTTACTGTAGGCTAGATCAGTAGTTATATGGTTCCAGTTATTCACCCTAGAAGTAAGACGATTTTATGTCAAGCCAATAAATAATTTTCCAAACCACTTACTGCAAAACAACATCGAAGTATTAAATTTTCAAATGTTTGATATTTTTAATTCAAATGCAATTATTTCTTTAAAAATATAGTATGAAAGTTATAATGAAAGAGATCAACAACTTACGTAGTAAAACATAGCATCAAACATGGCGGATAAGTTTAGCAAATACGAAACAAACTTAATGTGAATGGCCAGTTGGAGTACTGCACGCTTTCCTATTTATTTATGCAAAATTTAAAATACAAACAAACTAAAAATATTTTTAGAAAATGTGAATCAATTCATGAAAAGCTTAATAATAAAAAATGTATTTAAAAAAATTTAAAACCTTGCTTTATATTTACACTTTAGATAATTATTTTCATGACGTCACCTCTTTTTCTAAGTCTTTGCTATTATCAGTTTCCTGATATAATATTCAGTGTTTGTTTGTAGTTAAGCACAAAGCTGCACAAAATATAGGCTATCTGTGCACTGCCTACCACGGGTATCGCAACCCGGTTTCTAGCGTTGTAAGTCCGTAGCCATTCCGCTTGGCCACTAGAAGACACATGATATTCAGTGAAACCAGATGTTCGTTTATATCACTGATCGTTAAAATATACATGTATATGATAATGGCTGGAGACGGCTTGAATGGGTAATGAAG